GTTAACGGTGCCTATTGATTACTCATTAAATCACTATTTGTTAGTTACAAATGTGTACTACTTGTAATTTAGTTCCTTGTTAAAGAGTTCGTTCAGGGTACAGGGTAAGTACTGACACCTTACCTATTTCTGCCGCCAAGCAGTAATATTAGCATTACTGTGTTCCGGTTTTGAAGGGTAAGGGACTTGGTGATATTACATCAAATGGGATTTGTCAACTTATATTCCAGGGTGACGGGCGCAGTGACAGTGCCCCTCAGATCTATGCGATTTAAAGCTCTGAGTGGCACTGTAACTGTTATGGACAGGCGTGTAGCTTATCATCAGGCGCACGATTTGTTCGTCCCGTCACTTGATATTATAAAAAAAGTGTAATTGTTTGTAGACCCCGATAAAACAAATCTAATAATACGTACTGTCACTTTCATAAACGTAGTATTATTTATTAATAATAATAATAATAATTCATTTATTTGGTAAAACACAGGTTAGATATGCAAGTTGACATGTACAAAATGAGTAGGTATAGTTTCACTGTGTCCGGCCAAACATTTGACATACAAACATATTGAAAGTATATTTGGTATATGAATATTATAATACAAACACAATTACCGGTATTGACAATATAAAAATGAAAAGAAAAATTTGTTTATTTTTTTATTTTGTTTTATTGTTTAATATGATAACATTTATCAAAGAATTACTTACTTTTAACTTACGGTAATACCAATGTTCGACTCTATGGATGTCATTTGTACAAGTATTAAAAGTGTCAACCACGATGTACTTAATCGCAGGCTCTAATAGTCGGCGTACGAAAATGCGGTACACGAGCTCTTCTGGAAATGCTTTACCTCCATCCAATGGTACAAAAAGCGTCAGGGGAGATCCACTTCTTCGACCGAGACGAAAATTACGCTCTTGGCTTGGAGTGGTACAGGAGCAAAATGCCGCTTTCCTTCAAAGGACAAATTACTATAGAGAAAAGTCCGAGTTACTTTGTGACTCCAGAGGTAAGCATAATTTTTAAATTTATACTTACTTCATTTCACACAAAATAGTATAAATGGTGGAGTTAATGCCATTAGGCATTCTCTACCAATAAAAAATTATTACCGGAATTTTGGTTTAAAAGTTGAATGGATAGGATCCTAATCTTAACTTTATTTGAGAAAACTTATCTATCGCTTATAAAACACTCTTTTTATTGTTCCTCGTGTGAAGATTTCCTGCAATTTCCGCAAATTTGTTTTTAGCCATTTTAATAAAAATGGAAGTAAATTAATTGCTACCCCGCGAACCCAGTGGAGATTAAATCGTGCGAAATAGCACGCGTGTGTTGAATTTTTGTTTCATACAGTTAATTTTGCCACCCTCCCTCCACATAAAAACTAGTAAAATAAATAACACAAGCACAACTACAATCACTGATACCACCACCAAAAATATATCCGACACGTGTTTCGCATCTCTTCCTACATCCTCAGGAGTGTTAATTGCTCGGAGCTCGTTCGAAGAATAGAAGATGCGAAGGAAGAGGGAGGAAAATTAATTGCATTAAAAAATATTCAAGACAAGCATAGCTATTTTGCCACTGAGTTCGCCGAGTAGCAAATTAATTTACTTCCATTTTTATTGACATGATTTCCGCAAAGTAACACCTGAATCTATTAATTATTTAGCCATTTTGTTTTCCACGTTTTCCACTAAAGGTGCCAGAACGTGTCCGCGCCATGAACTCATCAGTACGACTGCTACTAATAGTCCGCGAGCCAGTGACTCGTGCTATCTCCGACTACACGCAACTGCGCAGCCGAGCAACACCGTCCGCGCCGGCGCAAGTACAACCGCCCGGCCATCCACTGCCCGATGCCGCTAAACCGTTTGAGCATCTCGCCATTGCTCCTGATGGATCGATAAATGTCGCTTACAGGTAAGACAATATGAGCTTATTTCATATTTTTAACTTTCTCTGCGTAGCGTAGTCTTGTCCATTTCTCCTTGGATTATTTCAGATATTAAACAAGAATAATTGTATGTAATTATATGTATCGATCTTATTTACATGAAGCCATGTAATACAAATGCATGAATTCCTTCCCAACATGTAATTTAGCAATACCCCGAAACAAAACCTATTAACATGTAAATTAACGTCCGCTTGTAGATTTATAACTTTAACAAAGTTTCAAGACTAATAAGATTACGTAAAATATCACAAAACACATAATTAGCTGTAATCCCAATTAGACCGGAAAACTCCAAATGAAAACACGTATATATCCTTACGGGCTCTTAAAACAAAATGTCATTTCGGAGAAGGACGAAGTGAGGATAAATATAATAATAATCCATTTATTTCGACTATTCCTTTCAATACACGTGTGTTCGTATAACCGAGCTTAAGACAAATGACTAATACGGATAATAAGGATATTTTTCTTACCATTATATTTCCCTCGCGTATCATTTATCAGCTCTTTAATTTTGTTACTCATATCTACATTATGTACTAAGATCGCTATGGAGACATAGTAAAAAAACAGCCACACGCAAAAACACCTTTGAGTTTTTGGCAAAATTCACATTTAAAGAATTTAATTCAGACAGACAGACTTTCTCTCTCACACTTTATTCTCCGGTTTAGTAGTAAGTTTTAAAAGCAAAATATCTTGTATTGTAACATTTGGACACGATTTTTGTTCGCTAGAGATGTGCTTACCTCCAGTAGTAATACAAAATCGAATACTATGTGACAAATAGAAGCTCTGTTCTCATAGGCCAATCGCAATATCGCTCTACCACTCATATCTGCACCGGTGGTTGGAGGTGTTTCCGCGGGAGCAAATCCTGGTGGTAAACGGAGATCAGCTAATTGAAGACCCTGTACCGCAGTTACGACGCATCGAGAAATTTCTCGGGCTTGAACACAAAATTGGTAAGATTACTCTTTCTCAATAATCTTCCAATCAATTTAAACCATATGCAGTCTGTTTTTATTACGATTGACGGTAAGTATGATTAGCGCCGTTAACTTTTTTTTTTTTTTATAAATTGATATTAAATCGTACCCTTGATTTAATAAGGCCATATCTGCAAAATGACAACTTTTCAGGAGATAGATTATTATATTGCCCTCCTTGTCATAACTAACACATTTGCGTTTCGGTAAAGAGACACTGGCACCTAAAGTTTCTTTTGCTAGTCAAAAATGTCAATTACGCAGATTTTGCTTAACAATAAAACTGAAACTAAATAAAATATGAAACGAATCGATTACAGGAGAGAGATTGTAGATTTCGCTTCGGCGATTCCAGATATGTTAATAACTCAATTTGGTTAAAAATGTAGATTACGTTAGTTATAAATATTAGAGTGGTTACACACCGACTACACAGCGATTACATCGCTACATTTGCGATTTATAGACGATTGCATCAATACAAACGCGCGATTGCATCGATGCAAATGCGCGACTGCATCGATATATTCGCTTATGTTGAATAATTATGTAGATACTAAAAATCTGTAAAAGTTGATGCAAAATATTTTGTTTCGTTAATTGTAAATTTAAAAGTGAAATTAATAAAAACATTAAATAAATAAATTACTTAATTTACAAAGTGTATCGCGTTTGTATCGAGTTTACATTGCGTTTCGGCCACTCTCACATTCGGTGTTCTCAGCTTAATTATCGTAGCCATTGTTTTTTTTTTCGCTTATTATATCCAGTATCATTGAAATATGAATAACTTTAAGCTAAACTATCAATATGTCTAAATGGCATTGGAATAGACAAAGTCGTTTTGTAGTTATTAAGACACAAATATTTTATGGAAACGGTCATTAGACCTAATTACCATAGACATGGATAAGGTAATTTGAAAGTTCAAACATGTTTAAAACAAATCGACTGTTTCTGACTTAGTTGACTTATTATTAGTATATTTTGCTACATTTGGCTTATTTCTACTGATATTAAAGACGCGCGCATGTCGCACCCTTAGTAATATAAGGGCACAATCCAAAAAAAGTAGATTTTTGGGAAATTTGGGAATTGATAGGGACTTAAATAATAAATGGGATCAAACTTATATAGCTCCATATTTCTGTTATATTTTTTGTACTATATGGGTCTAACTTGAAAGTGTTTTTTTTAACTTGCTTGAAACTTATGGAATTTATTTATATTATTTTTTTTTATTGCTCTTTATAATACATTTATCAAAGAACAAATCTGCCAAATTTCATATTTATAACTTAAATAATAAGCATATTATTTGAAAAAATAGGTGTAATGTAGGAATCCAGAATCTTAATACGCGATTTCCCAAAAATCTACTTTTTTGGATTGTGCCCTTATATTACTAAGGGTGCGATGTGTAAAGGTAGACGATTAACGACTACATTGCTACTGTATCGCGTTTGCATCGCTGCTAATAGTCGCCGTGTGTAACCGCTCTAACATACAGTATAAAGTTTCTAAGAAATTAGTCGATAATATTTTTATGCTTACATAGGAAAAAAACAAAATTTCACATGTACATAATTTGTTCCATATATTTCGTATTACTTTTATGACTTTCCTGTGATAGAATCACTTTTAACGTATGATGTGGCTTTAATAAGGGTACGACATAAATTGCACGTAATGGTTAAAAAGAGTTATGTAATAAAAACTTTCTTTTAAACATACTGTTTGTCTATACTAAGTACACAATGTTATTGATGACGCTCTGAATACCTACATAGTTAAACAGAATAACTAGTTAAATAAATACTCTTCATGTATATAGCTAGATTTTGTGTACAATTCTATAGAGATAATAGACCGGCTTCCTTTGACGAACCCTGCTTTCAGATAAAGTAAACGTCGGAAGTGGAATACATTCTTTACTGCATACATTCTTATTTAACAGGTAGAAGAAATTTCTACTTTAATGAGACGAAAGGGTTCTACTGTTTGCGAAACGATACCACGGATAAGTGTCTTCGGGAGACGAAAGGAAGGAAGCACCCACGCGTGGACCCTGCAGTTGTTACCAAGCTAAGAAAATTCTTTATCCAGCATAACCAGAGATTTTACGATCTGGTCGGGGAAGACCTTGGCTGGCCTGAGGATTAGATAAATAACGAGATATTTTCTCATTTCTGATCTCTTTTAGTTGGGCTGTGATATTGTAAGAAGTTAACAGGGACATTCATATGTAATTTTAAGAAAATTAAGAAGGAAGAACAGATCAGAACAAAGTAATAAGAATACCGTATCTTCCTGCGGCAACTTCAGATTAACATTATTTATCTACAATACGATAATAACCTTAACGCTACAAATTCGGCCATAATTCCACCAAAGGAGTCATGTAATGAAAATGTTTTCAAAGTAAACACTGACGAACCCAATTCTATGCGTAGATGAGATCAGAAGTGAGAAACTCGATATGATCAAAGGTTTGAAGGAAGTGCAAAAGTTCATCAAGTTACACGTTGACGAGCACCAACCGTTGTGATCAACACATATCAATGTAATTTATACATATCAACTTAAAACGTACATATCACTAGGCGAATAAGGTTTTTTAAAGATCTTTTATGTATACATCTATCATAGATAACATTAAGGTAAAACGGATATGATATTTATTTATATTATTATTATAAGTTGAAATAAATGTATTTCTGTTGTTTTATTATCGCCGAGTTTTCAGTTCGGTTGATTAGTTGTTTATTCATTTTTGTCATTGGCAGTATAAATGGGATCAAATTGTTTCATAAAGGTATCTAATTTTAATAATTGCATCACACGTCTTTTAATTTGATTTAAGTGTCGTATTATCATATAGAATAAATTATCCACTGGAAGTAATTAAATTACGTACTGATTCGATAGACCTACCCACTGGAACCCTGAGCAATATATTTTTATATATAATTAAGTATCGTGTGCAATCTTTATATACGAAGTTATTATACTGATGTGAATTTTTAAAATTTGTGATCTTTCGTTGACATAGGATCGATTATTTTAGTAGATGTAAGGCGTAATTTAAATGTAAATTAAAGAATAATTTTAACAAGAATGAATGTTGTAAATTTCTCGCTTTCCCTTTTTAGGTGTTGTAATTTTTGGTCGTGCCGTGTCTCTTAAATGTCTTACGTTGTTAGTGAACGTAATTTTCTCGAATCTTAGGTAAATTAATATTTTCAAATTCTATTTCTATAAATGAAATATAAAAATTCGTAGCTAAAATGTTGTTGAATTGTCTGTCTTCTTTAGATCAAAATTACAAGCGAATAAAATTACTCCAAATAATTCTGTGTCTTTACGGTAACTATACTGCTCTAATATCGGAATACTTGTGGATGTGTGGTGGTTCACGCTATAACATATGATATATACACGCTGTTTCTATTACACTTGGTTTTTAAATCTTTGGAGAGTATTGGTATAATTCGACGCGGGTTTTAGAAGTATTCTATTTAAGTGTAACGTCCAAGACTGAAGAGTTAGTTGAATAAGTCTAAATAATACCTATTTAGCATAAAATGTCTGTAGGTATCGCTTGAAGAGCAGCCATGGGACATTCGCCCTACACTTACCACAGAGAATTTAGAATAAAATCTAAGGCACTTTGACTCGGTAGTAGGAAACCTTTTGAAATAGATTCGCTTCCAAATACAAATTTCAGAATCAACGAATATTTCTATGTTTTTATATTATCCCGAGCGATATTTTTAGCACAAACACGTGAAATGTAACGTTATACTCCACTAATGTAATTTTTAATAAAATCTACAGTAAAAGTGATATTAATGACTAGGGTTATTCACTGTAGTATTTGGTCACGAGTTTCGAAATTCCCTTCGCAATCAAATATTCAAAGATTCGCAAGCAAAAACTTCTTGTGAAGAGATTTGCGTAACTCGAGTTCAGACAAGAATATCAAGCATATCAAAAAATGTCTAACTTATAGTAAAATTTTAAATAAAATTTAAAAATTAAAATCTCTATTTTAATTTTTGATTTAATGTTTCATTAAAAAAGAGATTTTATTTGTTTATAACTAATTCACTAGTTAATAGATAATTTTAATCACTGTTAAATGTTGTGCACGTTCATAAGGTGTAGATAAAAATCTGAATAGGGCAATAATTTTATATAGTTTATTTATTAGGAATACTTAAGCCGAGAGGCTTGGTACTTCTGCTTCTTTACGGAAGGTTTTTGTATGAATTTCATTTATTATTAAATTCTATTTCAGTTATTTAAATGTAAACAGCACGTCTCCCTTAAGATTTAAATTCAACTTAATGTTACGACAAGATGGTGTATAGTCCAAAAGGTGAAGCTCAGCGTGCTGCTGATTGTATTTGTTTACCAGATTTTAGCTTTTTTGAGCACTTTACTTGTTTTAGTGTTGATTTAAATTCTAGTCTTGTTTTGCTAACAAGTTCAAAGCATTGTATTGTACGAATTGTTATCTTTAAACTGAAAACTACATTTCACTGTAAATATCTTGTGAAATTTCTTTGTCTAAGTTAATTGTACATTACCTACGTCTTTAATAAAATATGAGGCAATCGACTTGAGTTGTTTAATTTGCTGACCTCAATCCACGATTCAATAAGTTGTTATAAATAATTAAAAATGGTTAGGCAAATCAGTTGAAGCAAACGTTAAGCATTTCAATGTTCATTACAGACTATCACATAATGAAATTATTAAATATTTAAGGTACTACTTGCTTTGCACAAAACAACTTGTAAACTCGTAGCTAGAAAAATATTTCATTTTTCTGTAAATAATAGAAAAATTTAACAGACACCTGAATGCGCCCTCGCACCTTGCCGCTTAGAGTTCGCAATTGATAAATGAAATGAATGCGGTGAAACAAAAACAACTATTTATTATGACAAACTGGTCTTAGTGTACTTGAGTGCAAAATACATTAATTTATTTTGAAACGCCGCCATTGTAAAACAACTTGGTAAAGTGAATGGCGTGTGCTGGTAATGGGCTAACAGAAAATTATACATTGAGCAAAAATTTGTTTTCATATGAAATAAAGATATTTTTTAATTTGTTAATTATCACCATTTACTTACCTACGATATTCAAGAAATTTAGATTTTTTAAATATATCTATTATAAATTAAATTTCAAACGTGCGCATGTATTGTAGCACATATGTACGTTTAAGGCGATGATGGAAATTAAATGATTAAATCACGTCCAATAAGAGAAGATAGCCCAATAGAAAGCGTGACACAAGAATTATTTATCTTTACCGTGTTAATACCCATTAAACCGGTTAGAACCGACTGTCACCGAATCCGGATGATCCAGAGAGGCTGCGATCTGAATTGGACGAAATCAAAGTGTTCCCTGGGCTTTAGCCGTTTACCGATGAAAAATGAACTTACATTAGACTCGTTTGCTGAATCTAATTTCAGTCGATAGACCTTAAACGCTGCGTTCACGTTCAGAAACGCAATTTGAACATAGGTTATTGTTCATTAGGTAGAATGTTTCACATAAGGAGGTATTTTTTGTATATGTTACACGATTAAACATTTGTGAACCGATTTCGATGATTCTTTTTTTTATTGGAAAGGGGTTAAGGGTTCTACTCAAATTTTAAGAAAATATTTCACCTCTAAGGGTGGCAACTTAGGGGATGAATCCGGTTTATTGGATTTCACCCACTTCCCGTTAACCAATTTCAGTAAAACTTAGCAAACAGATGCAATTCCACAAACGTTTCGGTTTGGTTTTTTTTTAAAGTTATAATATGCTCAATATCTAAATACTTGTTTACATATATATCTAAAAACTAATTTTATTTCACTACCTAAATCGTCCTTTGGATCTAATATACGATACTTTAGATTGGATATAGATTTAACGTACTCCTATTTACAAGGTAATATCGTTTTCTTTTGCATATAAATGTCTTTATATAGATACTTACCTTATATTTTCAAGGGTTCCGAGGACACATTACAAGCTTTTAAAAAGAAATATCAATACAAGATTGGTTTCCCAGAAACACAATATTATCATAGCCGATAAAATGAAAATATCCTCAAACAATTTTGTCTGTGTGAGAATATACTGAATTACATTTACTCGTAGCATAGTACCTCAAATATTTTTATTCTAAGAGAAATTTTTCTACCGAAAATAATTTAATATTTTGGTCCCAGTAGTACGTAACACACAGTGTATAGAACAGTAATTACTGGATGACTGAAGAAAAGTATAATTCAGGCGTTCGGTTTTCGAGTAGAGAAACAACGAAAACGTAGGATGGATGTCGATCGCAAACAGTTTTTGGTATTATTAAAATCTCACAATTGGACAGAAGTGGATCCTAGCGCGCGATATGCAACGAATGTTCGGAGGCAAAGTACTATTGTTATGTTGCTGATTGGGAAACTGCACACAAAGTCGTATGAAATCGAGATAGAGAGCAACGTAGTGAGTACATTTTCGTTGAATATGGCAGAAAGTGGACACAAATATGAGTATTTTAGTACTGACATGACATGACAAGTCGATATTGCGTATCTTGATTTCCTAATGGCTTTTGACCGGGTCGACATCGATATTTTACTGCAGAATGGGATTCGTCCTCCGGCTATTGAAGGTGTTTGTCGACTATCTAAAAGACCGGAAACAGTTCGTAAAATATGGACGTTCTGACATAAGTCAGGGATCAAATCTGGGATCATTCCTGTTCCTTATTCATAAGAATAAGGAACAGGAATGGTTAACAACCTCCCCACAGGGGTTAGCAATGCCACATTTCTATTATTCGCCGACGATGTGAAACTCGTTATACCTATATATTTTTAATATTTTTTTTTTTTTTTTAATAAATAACGCACACACTCAACATAGCCCCGCACTAGGGAAAACCCTGTGTCGCGGGTGCCATGGACACACACATAGACAACCACAAATTACACCCAAACTCACGAGAGAAATAATTGTAGGCCATACAACTATTTCTCCCGGCCCGGAAATCGAACCTGGGACCTCTGCGTGGCAGTCCGGCATGGTAACCGTTCGGCCACGGAGGCAGTTAAATATATATATTATACAGTTTTAATATATATTAATGATATATATTAATGCTTTGGACTGTTATGCCTTGCAAATTGACATCATCCCGGTGAGCAAGTGGAGTGTGGAAAATAAGCTACTATTTAACTAAGACAAATACGAGATCATGTCCTTTTCGCGTTCGCGCTCCGCTACTACTAATTAGCTTTATTACTGACTATCTATTAGCCGGTGGAGCGATGGTTAGTAAGTGAGGTCCGTGATCTCGGAATTACCTTCGAGGCTTCTCTTACATTCCGGACTCATGGTCAGAATGTCACAATGTCTGCGCACCAGAAACCAGAGTTCAAGTTGCGTAACGCTACCCCACTTACTTCTTCAGCAACGAAAATCTAT